ATGATCCTGGCTCATATATTGACTGTCTCAGTCCTAGTATAAGCCATTTCTTCAAAGAGTCCTGATTCCCTTTATTAGAGAATGGTATTAAGAACTTACACACAGAAGGAAAATGCTCTCAGATGCCAGTGCAAGGAAATGCGTGCATGTGCTCCCACCTTAGTGTATGTTGTTGCTCAGGGAGCACCGCCCTCCCCCCCAATCTGCCACAACCACATAGTGTTTTAAATTTAAGTTACTTAGAAATGGCCAAAGCAAGAGGGACACTCTGACCCCCGCTCTGTCTCCCTAAAAGCAGGGAATAAGTCTCACATGAAAGGTTCTGAGGCACACATAAACATAACTTGTAACTTCTTTAATTTACCACTCCAAGCCCAGACTCTGTTTAGATTCTTCACTGAGTACCCAGAAGCTACACTTCTTTGGGCTGTCAATTCCTAACAAATTTATAGTTTTCTAGATGTATAAAATCTGCCTGTTTTCACTACTTCTTACTTCCCATTTCTATGAGAATTGTGTGTGTAGGAATTAAAATGTCTTTTTCTTCTGCTGCTCTGTCTTGCGTTAGTTTTATTATTAGTCCAGCCACAAGAAGTCAAGAGGGATAGAGAGTGAAATTTCCTCCTCCCCAATAGTATACACTCCTAATTATAGAGATTTCTATGTGGAAATGTCTGTATTCATATTAAGCAGAAGACAGGTTTATACTGATGCCTCCAACTTGATCCATCATCATATGGACAGTGTACATCCCCCCCGCCCCAGCTTATCTGTAACTCCCAGTCAGACAGTAGAATCCTGGTTCCCACCAGCTTCCACCCATTCAATTCATATCTCATTCTACGCCAGAAGACTGGTTTCAGCATTCTTAGCTCCTGCCCCTGTGGGGTGGATCTTACAGATCCCACTGTTTATGTGCAGTATGTTTTCCCTGTAGTCTACACGTTCCGTTCATTCCTGCAGTTACTGAGGCCGGCCCCTTCTGCTCCACTGGCATCACTGAGTGTTTTCATACATTCCTAATACACAGCCTTTGTTACATCCTGCATTCCATCCGGTGACACTACCACTTACTTGATCACGTAATCGGCTTTTTTCTGTAAGAAATGGAAATCTCCCTCACAAAAGGGCAACCTCTACTCAGTTTTCTGAGAGTCTTTTTTTTTTTTTTAATTACTCAGATTGTAGTAGTCATTAGGCTACAGACTTATTTGGGGGGTGGCACATTCTGCTCCCCGTGGCATGAATGTGCACTACTTTGCTTATGAGTTCATCTGCAGATGGGCACACTGACCACTTGAGTTTCTAAGCCGTTATGAATAGACCTCCTGTGCATTACTTGATGTTAGTTTTTATTGGAACAATTTTTCAAAGCAGTTGACTATATTCAAGAGATGATTTTTTTGGATTGTAAGTTGAGACTGTTTAGCTTTGGAAGAAACTGCCAAACTGTCTTCCAAAGTTGGCCATACCTGTATTCCAGTAGGATCTTGAATATATTTTTGTATGATTATTTTCTGTCTGTGTACCTTCTTTAGCCAGATGTTTGTTTCTGTCTTTACCCACTTTAATGGGGTTGTTTGTTCTAGATTTTATTGGTATAACTTGAGTAAAAACTCTTTATCAGATATGCGTTTTGCAAATACTTTCTTCTAGTGTGTGGTTTCTCTTTTGCCTTTATGAATAAGACCTTTCACAGAGTAGACGTCTATAGTTCTATAAAGTCCATGTCATTAATTTTGTGAAGATAGGCACTTGTTGTTGTGAGTTTAAACTCATCACCAGAACCAAGGTCTTATAGATTTTCTCCCTTTTCCTTCTAAGATTTTTATAGTTTTGCCATTTAAATTTGTCTATGGGCAATCTTGAGTGAATTTTGCTATCAGTTGTAAAGTCTGTGTTTATGTTCTCTTCATTCTATACGTTTTTTAATTAATTGCTCCTTAGCCAGTTTTTGAGACAGCATAATGAGCTATTTGGCTGTGTTTCAGTTTGGATTTCCAAAGGCACTACATAGAGCAGAACTGCATTCAGGATGAGGTCCCTGGGCTTTGTGAACTCAGCGTCCCCTGAGCTTTTCTGATGGTCCACAGCAGGGCGCCAAATCCA